AGTAAAATACTGCACCGAGGTTGAGCACCACGCAACAAGCAGTCATTATTTGATCGCCGGTCCGTGTGATGACGTCGCTGAAAAATCATCACATGTTCTGACAAAAGTAATTCACGTAGAAATCTACTGCGCACCGCAAATAGCAGTTTTCCAAGGTGAAAAATAACAAACTGCCCAAGCGAACGAATCGCACAAACGTACGGCCCACGGAATAGAGACAGGAATAGAACTGGATCGATTGTTCAGTAGCATCATTAAAATTGTCGTAATCGTGCATTTGAATGTTGAGATTTTCCGCTTGTGTGTGTGTGTATGGAACTTGAAAAGAGGAAAGTGAACAAAGGAAGCACAGTCACGAAGTATGCAGCAAAACATAGCAAATGACAAACGAAAACAATGCGCGAAATAAATGAAAGCCATGGAGATAAGAGTGGTTTAATAATGTTAGTAACAACGAAGACGATAAGAACAACAGATAAAGCCTCTGAGAGTGGGATAGGGGACTGCAGGAGGAGGGATGATAGTGTTCGGAATCTGAGTCAGAACGGCGAGATGCGTTCATGTGCCTCGGGCATTGTAGTGTACGGTCTGTCGTCGAGGCTCAGCCGAGCGTGGTGAGGTGGACTGGAAGACTGACGAATTAGCCATCATATTCTCAATGTATTGACCGAGGATTTGATTTTCGGAACGCAGTTTCAAGTTCTCCTCTTTCACCACATCCACGCGAGCCGAGAGATCTTCCAGTGTGTGCTGCAATTCCATGATCTGTAATGGGAAATGCATACGAATCCATCAGTTCACAAGCCCACCTGTCTAATCGGGTAAGGAATAGTCGACAGAGAAAATCAATCGGATGAGCAAAAAGGTTGCGGTGTCATAACTGTCCGTCAGCTCAATTCTTGATCAGGGTGGTAACGAAGAAGAAAAAGAGACTCACAGGTGTGACTAGCCCATGATGGATCGGAACTGCACAGTGTGCATGGTGACGGATAGGAAAAAGAATGGTCCATTGACGTACACACACACACACACACACTAATCATGATAGTTAAACAGCGTGGAAGGGATCATTTGCTCAAACGACTCACTGAACCGTTCACCCGAATGTCTCATATAGGAATGGATTCAGGATAATCATCTGGTGACAGTAGCAGCAATAAAGGAGATTTTGCAATAGGGTGGTGTGTAAACGGGACTGTGATCCCTATGTCAATCAAACCGAATAGAACTTAACAGGGAAACCAGCTGAGGTTAGCCGGAACACTTGGTTCGAGTTAATCATTGAAAACGGTCAGATAGTGATACATCATGAGCATATGAGTATATTGACTAAGCGAATCCTAGGGTAGGGGCATAATGTTTGTGGTCATCAATTCGTTATGATATGTAACAACATGTCACGCGAAACAAATGTGATGTAGGGCGTATAATGAACCCGTTTCTGACCGGGTTCAAATCCCAGCGGATTCATTGAATAAATGACAGCTCTAAGGCCTAATAAGGACCAAAATGGTGCAGTGTTTTTTCAAAAGCGGTTGACAACCAAAGTCTGTATGAGAAAATAAAATTCATTCTTTCACAGATACTACATTTGGCAAATTGATAAACAAGCAGAAAAAATCCATAAAACATATTTAGTTTCTACTCCTCTATCTACCGTGAGAACTGAAGAATTTCAAATGTGAACATATCACCCATCAATAAATTGCATCGTGTTTGCGAAAAAACTGTGCGAATAAGCAACATACATTCCAACTGCTTCTCACATGTATGCTTATCGAAAACTGTATAACGGGCCACTTTTTACTAAGCACATTGCATTCTAAAAATAAGTATATCAAAACCGATACAATGAGATGAGGTGTTCGTAAACAGCGATAGGGAAAAATATACAGGGGGAGCAAAATGCACTTTCCGCGCTGAAGAACGATTAAAATAACTGGCACTGTGAGCTTTTATCAAGATCACGGTTGAGCAGAGGAGCTGTCAAAAGTGGAAACTTTCAAACCCAAGTGTCAAAACTCAGAGTTGTGTGAGTTTGTGTGTCTGCTTGCTCCAAGCGGGACAGACACTACTCTGTTACTGTGTCACTTCTTTCTTCACCCAAAAAAGAACCTTAGTTTATCCGTGTAAATACGAACGCCAAGATGAATACAGCGAGAGTGAGAAACATGGAACTGCTGCAAATATTGCGATAAAAAAGCTGAAACAGTTGGTTTTAATGCTAAATGGAAATACAGTGCTTGTAGTATGCATTGGTGAGTATATATGTAATTTCGTTAAACGCGCCACACCGTATTAGGAACAGAAAGATGCGCAAAACACCCAGGGTTTTCAGTTCGGTTGCAGTGGGAAAAGTAAAAAGTAACATTCCTGACCCTGATTAGCGCCCAGCAAATACCTAGTAAATGGTGCGAACTTGACCTTGTATGCAGTTCACATTTGGGGAAAAAACGTAGAAATATTTGAGAAATTGAAAATGTTCATTGGGAAAACAACACTGCAATCCCCGGAGTGCTGACCCAGTTCAAATTGTCACCCGATGACGACTATGCAACAAATGAGCTTCAACAACTAATTAAACAGAACAACAATGGCCGTCCCACAGATGAGTGTAACGTGAGACAGTTCTTATTACACAGCATAATGTGTCACGCAGTAGAAGAGAGCATCACCACCCCGATGACCTGTATCATGAGGATAATTGTGGCCACTTAAACCTTCCATGAAACATATCAAAACTGTGGAAGACTGACGTTATCTAGCAACACTTTTCGAAGTTTCATTCAGGCGTGATCTGTTCCGTTACACAGTCTAGCAAAACCACATGGAAAACTGAGAAACTTTCTGGTAAAACAAAAAGGGGAAAAGCAAAGTTTAGTACAAAGTGCATTTGGTATCGAACTAAGACGACAACAGTGATAGCACACCGCTACTTATAAAGAATATTCATAGCTTCAAAAACATATAGTTCATTCAACTGCACGGATGTACAGTATTGTAGTGTAACATTTACATACACAAGCTTGCATTTCCTTTTTTATATTATACACATGGGAGAGATTTATCGTCGAATTGCACAAATAAATTTACCATTTGTCAAGTAATGCAAGCTTCGATTTCGACGGCTGCTGTCTATCAAATAGTCCACACTACCAACCGCTGACTGTTTCCATTACTTTCTGGTTTCGATAGGTGACAAGCAATAGCCGTTCCTATACTGGGGGCAGATTTGCGTGTAACATGAAAAACCGACGCAATGGGACAGGGCACCCACATGACAACCTGACAGTTGAAATCAGGATTGCAGCACATGGTCACCACTTACAATTATAGGCAACTCTTTGTGGAGGTTGATGGACTAACCGTTAACAGAGTGTGAAAGATTCCCATCACAGCATTTAGAACAAACAGTTTGGCGAAAACTCTCATGCAAACTGTGAGAAAGAAAGATTTTTTCATCAGTTTGTCATTCAAAGGCGATGCCGTGAGTGAGATCCTACTTCGACGACTGAACAGAGAGATTGGTAACACCTTCAACGCTGCTAACTTACGGTGCGTGTTTCGTGGTGCTCCAATAATCCACATTCAAAACAAGGATAAACTGTCGATACTGACCTCATCAATGGTTGTATACCTTTTCAGATGCGTATGTGGCGCAGCTTGGTCGAACGGTACGACAGCTATCCACNAAGAGCATCACCCACGCTGGTTAAGACTAGGACAGACCGGATCAATAAACAGCTCCAGCCCACTTAGTCGACACCGGACATCAAGTGAATCTGGAATTCGCCTTCAGAGCTGCTTTATCGTGTCCCCCCACACTAAATGCAAGGGTGTTCAACTGCGCACCCTAGCAATAGCCGAAGCGATCGGGATAAGAAAATTGACCCCTGACCTCTGAGCCCAAAAACGTTTGGTTCAGTCACTCTAACTTTCATGGTCCGTGATCGATCAGTCCAGAGTGTGTCCGCCGTCCAGTCACCCTGATGCCGTAACTTAGTGAACCAATCAAATGACAAATGCCAGTTGACTATGGCAAACTCTTACCATGATTGGTGATGTGTCTAACTGTATCTAATCTGTTTTCTAATGCTACCTATGTAATCTGGGAACGGCTTGAGATGGAATTACTGGAAAACAATTGTTTCACCAAACTGTTTATTCTAAATGTTAACAGAGTGACAGGTAAACGCTTCGTTAAATGAGATGATAATATAAGCTACTCGGTAAATTATCAGTAGTATAAATATAGAGCACGAAATGTTTTCATCAGGCCCCTGAGCTTCTCGTGACGTGTATACGTGGGACCATGCTTATTGCTTCATCATTACAGCCCAGCTACATCGATTTCATATCGGATAACATATCTGGAAGATGCAAAACGTTTTCAGTGAGAAACCAATCAGTAAAAACAGAATGACTTCCATTGCTCAAAACTGACCATGGGATTTTCAATTGTTGGCGTTACAGACTTGTGCCATTCAGTGAGAATATTTAACCTCAATTCGTAGATAGCAGTGAAGACTCTTACGACTGAATAGACTCTCCTCACTAGAAAAAGCCACGGCAACAAGTAAACTGTACTTACAACATGAGCTTCATGTATTTTAGCGTCGCCTTTCTGATAAGGCATAGATCCTCGCCTGTCTCTCGAAATTGGAGTCAAAAAGTAATCATTTAGAGATCTGATCCTTGAGTCGAAAACTGAGATTCATGATTTGCCCGCTGAGGAAATTTCAACCAAAATTACCACAACCACTGTCGAAAGCTCTGTGTTAGAATTCAGGCGTACTCTCTAGTGTGTCACGCCAGAATTACAGCATTCCTTCGAGCAATCCAAATAGAACTTTAATCAGCACTAAATATCTTGTTTTTACCCTATCTTTAGGGTGAGGTTCAGTGATCCAGATCGCTGATCCTACCTTGCCACTGCCGACTGAAAACTCAATGCAGATGGCCAAAACCAAGATTCAATAGCAGGAACCCTACCCATGTGAGCAAGGTTCCATGTCAGGATTTTTATATTTTTCCAAAGCACCTGAAATCACGTGCAATGACGAAAGATTAAAACTTGAAGACAATATTAAATGAAACTAACCTGTTTAATTAGTCGCTGCTTTTCTTCTTGATCCGCCTCATTTATGTCGTCCTCTGGATCAGTGGAGAACATACTACCGCTATTCTCTCCGTGTATGGTGGACTGGCGATCATCGTTGTTAATATCGACGGAGTTTGGTGAACTATCCATTTTTCAACCTGGGGAATATTCCAGAGATAAAAAATCATTATGGTAGCATTAGGCAGAGCATAATGATGTCGTTCAATGACTGTGATGAAAACATCGTTTGATGGTATTTTGTGTCAAGACTATTAATACCTTACGAAAAGTAAAACTCAGTCAAAAGCAGTAAACTACTCCAGTGAGTAATCCTCCACTTCGACCGTTGCGCGAATGTTTCAGTTTCAATTTGAACAACCATTGACCATGCACTTTCATGCGCCGGTTTTGGTTACTTTTGGCTGCTCATTTGGATGAGCAGTAGGAGAAAGACATGAAGGTTGAAAGTAGAATTGAAGAGGAAATTGGGAATTTCAGTGGACCAAGGTTATGAAGAAATTGAGAACATGCACGGAGAGGTTTGCTTTGCGTCTGAGTTGCTGGTAATTGTGGTGACCAGCTAGACGGGTGTTTCTCACCAGGGGTGAGAGAAGGATGATTTTATCTGATATCCAATCTTTGTAGCAGCGCTTCGTGATACCGAGTTTGTTTAGTGCAGCTT